CCCATCCCTGGGGGTGTTGAAGGGCAGGTTGGATGGGGCTTGGAGCAGCCTGGGCTGCTGGGAGGAGTCCCTGCCCATGGGGGGTGTGGGTCTGGATGATCTTCCTGCCCATGGGGGGGGAGGGTCTGGATGATCTTGAAGGTCCCTCCAACCCAAACCTTTCCATGACTCCATGACTGGTGCCTCCAGCAAGGGGGGGTGAACACCTCCTGTTTTTTCAAGCCAGACTCACCAGCTCACAGGGCTCAGCATCCCCCCCCCTGCTGCCCCCTGGGGCAGGACCTGCCACCTTGGGAAGACCCCCAGGACACTTGTCCCTTCCCCAGCCCAAGGGAAGCCCCGGGGAGGGGTTTTCTCCAGCATTTCTGCTCGGGGTGGGTTTGTGGAGAGCAGAGGAGTGGCCACCCCAGCTCCCAGTCCCCCCAGCTCCCAGTCCCCCCAGCTCCCAGTCACCCCAGTTCCCAGTTCCCATTCCCCTCAGCTCCCAGCCACCCCAGCTCCCAGTCACCCCAGCTCCCAGTCACCCCAGTTCCCAGTCCCCTCAGCTCCCAGCCACCCCCACTCCCAGTCACCCCAGTCACGCCAGTTCCTATTCACCTCAGCTCCCAGCCACCCCAGCTCCCAGTCACCCCAGTTCCTAAGCCACCCCAACTCCTAAGCCACCCCAGATCCCAGTCAATCCCAGTTCCCAGTCACGCCAGTTCCTATTCACCTCAGCTCCCAGCCACCCCAGCTCCCAGTCACCCCAGTTCCTAAGCCACCCCAGCTCTCTGCCACCCCAGCTCCCAGTCCCCCCAGTTCCCAGCCAGCCCAGCTCCCAGCCACCCCAGTTCCTAAGCCACCCCATCTCCAAAGCCACCCCAGCTCCCAGCCATCCAAGCTCCCAGTCACCCCATCTCCAAAGCCACCCCAGTTCCCAGCCACCCCAGCTCCCATTCACCCCAGTTCCCATTCTTGCCCCTTCTCACCTGTCCCAGGGTCCATTTCCACCCCTCCTCAGCTGCCCCACGTTCTCCATCTGCTCCTTCCCACTTGTCCCACCACACACGTCTCCTCCCCACTCCCCACGTGGCACCAGGAGGTCCCACCCATGTCCCCTGCCCTGGGTGACACCCCTGCCCTGGGGACACCCCCACCTCCCTCCATCACCCAACCTGCCCCTTTGTTCCCCTCTTTTGCAATGTAGGTTCTTCCTGGCACCACCTCCGGGTGCCCCTGGATCAGGAGGCTGGTGGGGAGATGTCTCATCACCCCTCACCTTCCCATCTCCTCCCCAGACCCAACACACTCCTTGCTGTGCCAACCCCACCCAGCTTGGGGTGAAGGTTTGGGCATCCTGGGGCACATTAACCCCCCCCAAACTGGTCTTCCCCCAAAGCAGGGGGTCAGCAGCCCATGCCAGGCACTGGGAACACCAGGAGATCATCTACAGGTCTTCCCAGGAGCAGACAGAGAAACTGTCCTGAGCCTGAGAGTTGGGGTGTTGAGCCTGGAGAGGAGAAGGCTCCAGGGAGACCTTAGAGCAGCTTCCAGGGCCTGAAGGGGCTCCAGGAAAGCTGGGGAGGGACTTGGGCCAAGGGCAGGGAGGGATGGGATGAGGGGGAGGGATGAAAAGTGGGAGAGGGAGCTGGAGGTTGGAGCTGAGGAGGGAATTGTGGAGTGTGAGGGTGGGGAGAGCCTGGGCCAGGGCCTTGATGTTCTCATCAGGCAGCAGTTACAGCTGCTGGGAAGTGCCACCTCCTCAGAGAGGTTTCCAGCACGTTGGATTTGTAACACCTTCCTTGGCTCCCAGGTCAGCTGGCAATGACCCACACGTCCCACAAGGAAAAAACAGCATCACGGGATGGTTTGGGTTGGAAGGACCTTCAAGACCATCCAGCTCCAACCCCCTGCACGGGCAGGGACACCTCCCACCAGCCCAGGTTGCTCCAAACCCCACATTAGATCCTTGGACACTTCCAGGGATGGAGCAGCCACCTTGAAGATCATTGAATGGATCATCTGGGTGGTCTTTAAGGTCCCTTCCAACCCAAACCATTCCATGAGCTAAAGCCCATCCAGATCCCCCTCCCTGCATGGGCAGGGACACCTCCCAGCAGCCCAGGCTGCTCCAAGCCCCATCCAACCTGCCCTTCAACACCCCCAGGGATGGGGCAGCCACAGCTTCCCTGGGCAACCTGTTCCAGGCTCTCCCCACCCTCACAGTGAGACGTTTCCTCCTGCTATCTCAGTCTCCCCTCTCCCAGCTTGAAACCATTCTTCCCTGTCCCATCACTCCATGCTGCTAGGAGGTCTCCTCAGAACCTTCCTCCTCCCCCTGCAGACCCTTCCCCAGCACTTTGCACAAGATCCAGGGAAACTCCTCTTCCATCACCCTCTCAACAGACACCCCAACACCTGCAGGAACGTCCTGCTTCCTGGTGGAAACCCCTGCAGGGGCACCAGTGCCACCTCTGAGTGTCTCTTATGGTGTTTCCTTGTTCTGCCCTGATGAGTTTGAAGCTTCTCCTCCCTCATTAGCAGAGGGATCAGCAGTTTCCTGGAGACAAGCAAGAAATCACCACCTGGGTGTGAGGTGGGACCTTGCACAACTCCTGGGGTTGCTGCCCTTGAGGAATTTGGAGGGTGTCACAAATCGTAGCTCAGGGAGGGTATAAAAGACTCCTTCACCTCCACCTCCCTGTCACTGATCCTGCATCTCCTCCTGCCCAGCCTTGTCTGCAGAATCAGACCCAACATTGCCCAGGGGTAAGTAGGTCCTGCCCGGGGGGTGGTGGCTCCGGGCTCGGCGCTGCTGGAAGTGCCACCTGGCTGAGCACCCTGGAGGAGAGGAAAGTCCTCCTCCCTTGATGGCCTTTAATATTTTGCTGCCTCTTTCTCCCCAGCAAGATGAAAACCGACCTGGAGCTGGCCTTGGAGTGTGTCATCAATGTCTACCACCAGTATGCCATCAGGAACCCCATGGATGACTACCTGAGCAAGCCCGAGTTCTCGGAGCTGCTGAAGGAGAACGCCAAGCCCTTCCTCCACGACACCCTCCCAGTAAGACCCCACTATGGCCAGGCTCTCCCACTGCTGCCAAGAGCTCCCAGGAGTGGTGGCCTCTTGGGGACATGGGGGTGACCAAGAGCTTTCCCAAGAGGGTGGGAACGTTTTCCTAGTGCAAACCTTGGGTGAACCTCCCTCTGGAGCTGGGGGAGACCCTGAACCTCCCTGTGCTTCAGGCTTTTGTTCAGACTCACGTGGGGAAGAGAGGAACAGTTTCCCACGAGGCTGACCCTCTGTTTTTTGTCACACCTGTCCTGCTGCAGCCCAACACAACCACTGATGACTACATCAAGCAGCTCTTCACCAAGGCAGACGCCAACCGCGACGGGCGCCTCAAGTTCACCGAGTTCCTCACCACCTTGAATGGGGTTTTCATTGATGCTCACAAAAGGTCCCACCACCATGGCCATGACCACGGCCATGACCACAGCCACGACCACGACCACTGAAAGTGCAGCAGCTCCCAGGAGGACCATGCCCATGGGATGGGGCTGTTCCAGCAGCACCATCCCCTTCCCTGCGGGCACCAAACCTGTAACCAAAGCCTTGGCAGCTGCTTCTGCCTGTAGCACCTAAATAAAATCTTTCCCCCTGCACCAAAAAGCAGCTGAATTCCATGTCTTGGTGTCTCCAGGAAGGATGCAACGTGGGGATGGGGGGTTAAACACAGCTGGAACTGAGGAAGGGCTGGGAAAAGGAAGGTGGCACCAAGGGACCTTCTCTGACCCAGGACAAGGGTGCTGGGGGTGCAGCCTTCTGGGGGTGGGAGATGTTTCTGCAACCCACAAAGCAACCAGAGGTCCCAACAGAGCCAAAAATGGGGCTCTGGAGAGCTGGTCTTACTCCTGCACAATGAAGTTGGATGACTTTGTTGGTGCCCCTCAGGTCACAGCACATCTGTAGATCTTCATGGGCTCTTGGGGAGCAGATACATGATGAGAGTTGGGGTGTTGAGCCTGGAGAGGAGAAGGCTCCAGGGAGACCTGAGAGCAGCTTCCAGGGCCTGAAGGGGCTCCAGGAAAGCTGGGGAGGGACTTGGGCCAAGGGCAGGGAGGGATGGGATGAGGGGGAGGGATGAAAAGTGGGAGAGGGAGCTGGAGGTTGGAGCTGAGGAGGGAATTGTGGAGTGTGAGGGTGGGGAGAGCCTGGGCCAGGTTGGCCAGGGAAGCTGTGGCTGCCCCATCCCTGGGGGTGTTGAAGGGCAGGTTGGATGGGGCTTGGAGCAGCCTGGGCTGCTGGGAGGTGTCCCTGCCCATGCAGGGGGTTGAGACTGGATGGTTTTCAAGGTCCCTTCCAACCCAACCCATCCCACAATTCTATGACTGTGCCCCGAGCAGGGAACCCTCAGGCTTGGGAAGCACCAACATTTCCATCAGCAGCTGGAACTAGGAGCCTGTCCCTTGGGAAACTGAGGCACGGGGGAGCTGGGGGGCAAACGTGGGGCTGCTGGTGGGTCATTCACACTCCGTGACACCAGTGACCCCTCTCTGGCTCCACCATTTTGCCACTGGGGAGCAGCCCTTGTCCCCCAGAGCAGACATCAGTCATTGTCCTGCTGGGACACCCCAGGTGGCACTTGGGCCACCACCCCCCAGCAGGGCTGGGCATCCCAGGCTGCCTCCCACCTGGGTTTTGGGGAACACAACTGGGAAACAACTGGGAATTTGAAGCCCAGAGGTCTAGGGAGGTTGTGAAAGTGCACAGGGCAAAACCAGCCTTGGCCAAAGCTCTGCCAGCCCAGCTGGGGAACCAGGGTGGAATTTGGGGTTGTCACAGAATATCAGGGGTTGGAAGGGACCTCTGAAGGTCATAGAGTCCAACCCACCTGCCAGAGCAGCACCAAAACTAGGGCAGATCCCTCAGAAAGACCTCCAGCCAGATCTGGAGGGTCTCCAGAGATGGAGACTCCACCACCACCTCTCTGGGCAGCCTGGCCCAGGGCTCTGTTAAGACTCCACAGTCCTTAATGAGCAGAGTGGGAACCCAATTAAGAAAAAAAAAAGCAATCAAGTGAGTCAGGGACACCAGGATGGAACATGTGACAGCTCCTGATCCTGCCCTGGGGACACACAAGCATCATCCTGGAACTGGAATGGTGACCCTTTTGTTTTTTCTGTCCCTCCCCTCTTCTTCCTGGAAGCTTTTGTCTTCTTCTTGTAGCTTTTCACAATCACTTCATTCTTCTGGGACCTGGTGTGTCCACCCCAGCTGGGTGGCACAGGAGGTGGCTCTTGCAAAACCCTTGGGGTCAGCAGCCAGTGAAGAGCCTGACCTCAGATTTACTTCTTGGTTGGTGCTCAGTTCCCTCTGCCCAGTGAAGCAAGAGCCAAGGTCTGACACAAGTTGATGGGAAATGAAAAGATGATGGGAAGTGCTTTGGGAAATCACTGATCCAAAGGTGGATGTTGCCTCTGTCTGTGCCCTCAGCTCAAGGAGGACGTGGAGCTGGTGGAGCAAGTCAAGAGGAGCCCATGGAGATGATCCCAGGGCTGGAGCAGCTCTGGAGCCAGGCTGGGAGAGTTGGGGTGTTGAGCCTGGAGAGGAGAAGGCTCCAGGGAGACCTTAGAGCAGCTTCCAGGGCCTGAAGGGGCTCCAGGAAAGTTGGGTTCAAACAATTCCCATGGTAGGAAACCAAGAGAGGGTGTTAAAAACAACCAAGGAACAAGTTCATGGGCCTCTCCTTGAGTTTAATGGGTGGACTTGACCTTCAGGGTCTTCCCACCCCAGAATAATGCTGAGGTTCTGTGGAACAGCCCCATCTTGCTTCTCCAGGGCCACAGGGATGAGCAGAACCTCCAGCACATCACAAACCCTACAACCTTTCTTGGCAAGTCCTGCCTGGGTGGCCTTGCCCTCCCTGTGCCCCTTGGGGTGTGACTCCCCCTCCCAGCCATTCTTTGCCCATCACAGGAGGAGCTCAGGCCTGTCAAAGGGGACAGGGGGGTGGAAGGACAACATTTCCAAACCCTGGTGGGTGCAACCAGGAACTAGGTGGAGGGGAAAAGGCACTGGGAGGGGTTCAGAAGGTCCCACCTTGCAATTTCCAGGTACTGGAAGTGGTAACTGGAGCTGCTGCCTGCAGCAGGTGTGTCACCACCACTGATGACAGAAGACTTTGGATGTGTATAAAAAGGGCTGCCCAAGCTCTTGGATCACTGAGAAGGACCCAACCTCTGCAAACTCTTCTTGGAGACCAGGGGTAAGAGACACTGCAAAGGGTCTGGTAGGAGATGAGGGGAGGGAGAAGGGATTTGTGGAGATGAAATGTTGGGAGGCAAAATTTGGATGGACGGGAGAGAAACAGAGCCAGGGTGGGTGGAGAAGGTGGCAAAAACAGCCCAGAGGGGAAGGACTTGGGGGTGATGGACAAGAAGCTCAACATGGGCCAGCACCATGTGCTGGGGCCCAGAAACCAACTGTGTCCTGGGCTGCAGCTTGACCAGCATGGCCAAAAGGAGGAGAACTGGGACCAGTTTGGGAGCCATCAACACAAGGAGGGCGTGGAGCTGTGGGAGCAGGTCCAGAGGAGGCCACAGAGCTGATCCCAGGGCTGGAGCAGCTCTGGAGCCAGGCTGGGAGAGTTGGGGTGTTGAGCCTGGAGAGGACAAGGCTCCAGGGAGACCTTAGAGCAGCTTCCAGGGCCTGAAGGGGCTCCAGGGAAGCTGGGGAGGGACTTGGGCCAAGGGCAGGGAGGGATGGGATGAGGGGGAGGGATGAAAAGTGGGAGAGGGAGCTGGAGGTTGGAGCTGAGGAGGGAATTGTGGAGTGTGAGGGTGGGGAGAGCCTGGCCCAGGTTGCCCAGGGAAGCTGTGGCTGCCCCATCCCTGGGGGTGTTGAAGGGCAGGTTGGATGGGGCTTGGAGCAGCCTGGGCTGCTGGGAGGTGTCCCTGCCCATGGGGGGGTTGGGTCTAGATGGTTTCTCCAACCCAGCTGGAAAATGGGGGAGTTCCTCAACCTGCTCATTCCTGGGAGGTACAACCAACCCCCCTGGGGTTGCCTGGGGTGGGGGGACCAAGAGCACGAGCCCAGGGGGCCTGATTTGTGCTGCACCTTGGAGGTTTCTCCACCCCGTTTCTGCAGGTACCTCAGGAGCTCAGCCATGTCTACAGGCACCACCACAAGATACCACCCTGAAACTCAGCGTTTCCCTGGGAACTGCACCCTGGACAGGGCCCTGAATACCATCGTGGATGTTTTCCACCGTTACAGCATCCGGCAGGGTGAAGTTGATCTCCTCAACTTCAAGGACTTCGAGACCCTGATGAAGGAGCAGGCACCAAACTTCCTGCAAGTCTGTGTGAGTCCCACAGAAGCTGGGCTGGGCTCCCTGGGGGGATGATCTCCATGGGGAGATGAGGTGGGGGTTGCCTCCAAAGATGCCTCCAAGGTGTCCCTGCCCACGCAGCAGGGTTGGAACTAGATGGTCCTTAAGGTTCCTTTCAACCCCAACCATTCCACAACCATCCTCCTGGGGAAATAATGGGGTGAAGTTCCCACCAAGGGGTCCATGGAGGGGGTTTCTGTGATCAGACCCAGCTTGTCCATGGGGCTGGGAGACCATCCACACTCATCCCTCTTGTCACTGCAAGGGTAAGGAGGAGCCAAAGGAGCTTGGGACAAGAGCTTCTTCATCTGGGCTTCTAACTAGGGGTTGACCAGAGGGTAGGAGAAGCTCCTGCAGCTTCCAAACCCACTTCCCAGGTCACACGAGGAAGAAGTTGGCTTGGTTTCCACCAAGTGGGTGAGCAGCCCAGGGTGGGGGCCATTCTAACAACCCCTTGGTCCCCCAATTTCAGGACAGGAGCCGGCGTGGTTACCTGAAACAGCTCTTCCAAGAGACAGACATCAACCATGACAAGGAGGTGAGCTTTGAGGAGTTCACCATGGTCCTGGCCAAGGTGACTGATGATGCCCATCGCATCACCCACGGGGATGAGCGTTGTGGACCAGACAAGGATTGAGCCTCAACCCCTGAGGAACCTGGAGGCTTGGAGGAATCAGGCTCTGCCTGCTTGGACCTCTCATGCTTGAGAGATAATAAAGCATCACTGGGAGTTCTCTGAGTCCTTCTTGTCTCTTTTGTGGCCAACTGATGGTTGGGGTTTGGGTGGATACCAGGGAGCCAAGGTCCTGCTGGACCTGGGGGATGAAGCCTTGGCACCCAAAAATACAGGAGGGGAGAGGTGGGTGATGGAGAGTGGGCAAGGTGAGTTGCATTGCTTGGTGGCTGGTCCAAGCTGAGAGGGCTGGGAGGGTCTGAGTGGCCAGAAGATCAGAGCAGGACAGGCTGGTCCAAGCTGAGAGGGATGGGAGGGTCTGAGTGGCCAGAAGATCAGAGCAGGACAGGCTGGTCCAAGCTGGGAGGGTCTGAGTGGCCAGAAGATCAGAGCAGGACCCTCCCAGAGCTCTGCAAGGGTTTTCAACATCACCTGCAGCACACGAGGAAGTTCCCACAGAACTGTCATGGTTGGAAAAGACCTGTAAGATCCCAGAGTCCAACCAGGCTCTGGTGTCACCAGCGTGGGGCAGAGGGGGACAATCCCCTCCTCACCCTGCTGTGCTAGCACAGCTTTTCCCCTGGCTCTGCAAGTCTCCTGGTATCCTCCCAGGAGAAGACTCCTTGTCTAGCCAAGCCTGTGAGCTCCACCAAAGCTGCAACCCTGGCCCCAAGGCCACCAGGGTTGAGCAACCATCCATGAGCTTTTGCAGGAGCTGCAGAGGGGAAGGAGGAGCCAGGAGGCCTGGAAGCAACCTGGTGGCCCTGGCAAGTGAAAGGTCTGGCTGGGGATGGCTGGGTTGGGTTGTGCCCTGAGGACCTGAGCCCTGGAGGACACCTCGTGCTGCCAATCATTGCAAAACTCTTTCAAAATCTGCCTTGACGGGCACATGGTTGGTTGGTGAGGGAAGAGGACACGACAGGGCTGGTCTCTGTGGGTTTGTTGGTGTTTCATGGCAGGTTTGAGTCCAAGACAGGACATGTTTGGGTTGTTGGAGGTGTTTTAGCTTCAGGGAAACCAGGGGACCTTCTCTGAGCATCACCTGATGCTCCAACCATGACCTGGCATGAGCAGCTACCATGGGAGCTGGGGCAGCCTGGAGGTTCTGCCATCCTGGAGATAAGAGGGGAGGTTGAGGTTGGACCCTGAGGGTGGGGAGAGCCTGGGCCAGGTTGGCCAGGGAAGCTGTGGCTGCCCCATCCCTGGGGGTGTTGAAGGGCAGGTTGGATGGGGCTTGGAGCAGCCTGGGCTGCTGGGAGGTGTCCCTGCCCATGCAGGGGGTGGGATCTGGATGATCTTCAAGGTCCCTTCCAACCCAAACCATTTGATGCTCATTCCATGACCACACCCTGGTCACCTCAGTGACCACACTGACCTTTCAAACCTTGGGGTCTCCTCCCTGCTGCCTGGTGGGCACATCTGAGGGTCTCACCACCACCCCTGGCCCATCCCATCCCCCGTGACCCCTCCTTGCCCTTCCCAACCCCTGGGATGATACAATGACCAGAAAGAGGGTTTCCTGGAACTGCCACAAAATTCTGCAACCCAGCAATGGTCCCTGAGCCCCTGTTGTGAAACATCCCAGCCCTTCTCCTGCTCTTTCATCTAGCAAAGTGCCACGTTGTGAAACACACCCCCAGGTCTGGGGCTCTGGTGGCCACCACGTGTGGACCAGGGCTGTGTCCCCAGCAGGTCCCTGCACAGTGTTGCCCAAGCTCAGCTCATCTGGAGCTCCTTGAGCTCAGCCCAGGTCTCTCCACGGGCCCCATTTTGGCCTCCACTTGGTGTCTGAGGTGAGTGTCACATCTGGGAGGTTGAGCAAAGCCCTGGAGGAGGCAGCTGAGTTGGCAGGTAGAACCTTTTCCATGAAGCAGCTCTGGAAAAGCCTCTTTTGCTCCTCACCTTGGCAGCTCTGAGCCCAAGGGCCTGCACTGGGCTCTGCAACACCCAGAACCAAGGACCAAAAAGGAGCCACCAAGTGCAAACATGGCCTAAAGAGTAAAAATCCACCTTCCAGCCACACCTGGTCTCCAAGGACACCTTGGGTGGGGAGCAACCACCCCTGGCACACCTTGTTGCTCACCTGAGAAGATGAGATGAAGGTCCTAAAGCCCTGTCAGGTTGGGAACCCAGCCCATATTGTCTTGCAGGAGGAGCTGCAGGCATGGTCCCTCAGCACTGTCCCCATGTCACACAGGCAGCCCTGGCCACACAGGCAGTGGAGCAGCAGGACCAGGAGATGCTCGTGGGCGCCCAGGACCATGTGGTGATGTGGGTGCACCAGGTCTGCAAGGGTGGGGATGCTGTGGGGCCAAGTGGTTCTGGCTCCTTGGAGCAGATCAAGCTTGAGGTTTTATGGCAGGTTTGAGCCCAAGACAGGACACGTTTGGGTTGTTGGAGGTGTTTTAGCTCAGGGAAACCAGGGGACCTTCTCTGAGCATCACCTGATGCTCCAACCATGACCTGGCATGAGCAGCTACCATGGGAGCTGGGGCAGCCTGGAGGTTCTGCCATCCTGGAGATAAGAGGGGAGGTTGAGGTTGGACCCTGAGGGTGGGGAGAGCCTGGGCCAGGTTGGCCAGGGAAGCTGTGGCTGCCCCATCCCTGGGGGTGTTGAAGGGCAGGTTGGATGGGGCTTGGAGCAGCCTGGGCTGCTGGGAGGTGTCCCTGCCCATGCAGGGAGTTGGATCTGGATGATCCTGGAATGGTTTGGATTGGAAGGGACCTTAAAGACCACCCAGATGATCCATTCAATGATCTTCAAGGTGGCTGCTCCATCCCTGGAAGTGTTGAAGGATCTAATGTGGGGTTTGGAGCAGCCTGGGCTGGTGGGAGGTGTCCCTGCCCATGCAGGGGGTTGGGTCTAGATGATCTTGAAGGTTCCTCCAACCCAACCCATCCCATGATGGGTCCCCTTGGCCTCATGGCATGAAAAGACTCCCCGAGAGGAGAGTAAAATGGAGGAACCTGATGAAGAAGCTGAAGGGAAAGGACTTCTGGTGGTGAAGAGCTGCAGCCCCAGGAGCTGGGGTGGAGGGGACAGGGCCACCCCGAGGAGATGTCACACAAACCTTGCAGGTTGCCACAGAGCCCCCCCCCCCTTTTCAGGAACTACCCCCTGAGCCTTAAGCAACACACCAGCCTGGGGGGAGGAGGGGCTGGAACTGGGGGAACTGGGGACATTTCACAACCTGTGGAGAGGGGTGGGAGGGTGAGCAGGCTATAAGAGAGGCCACCTTTGGGACCAGCCCTGCTCCAGCCCTGGTGGATCTCACTCCTCCATCAAGATGAGCAAGGCAAGTCCAAGGGTGACCTGGGCATTTAAAGTCTCCACTTTCTTTTTCAGGTGCTGGTTGGACCACTGGAGGTGGATGGACCCTTGGGGAGCCTCTCCTTGCTGTGTGGGCAGAAGATGATCATCTCCAGCTGAGCACAAGCCATGGGGAGAGATGTTTCCCCCTGGAAGAGGTTCCTCACAGCACAGTCTGGCCACCAAAGGGGCTCCTGGACAGCAGATCTCCCACTGGGTCTCCACAAAAGTCCTTGCAGAGCCACCAGCTCTCCTGGGAGCTTTGGTCCAGCAGTGCCTGACTCAGAGGGCACACTTTTTTGGGGAAAAAAATCAGCTCTGAACTATTCTGGCACATCCCAGAGCAGAAGCAAAAGCTGCCACCCCTTGTTGGTCACCCCTTGGCTTTGTAGGTGGAAGAACTTCAACCAAACAGCTCAGATTGACCCCAAAGAGTGGCTGAGAAACCCCCCTCCAGGCTGTGTCCTCAGCTGGTGGCTGCAACAGAACCTCCCTGAGGTGTCTCCTGACATGACCAAGTGTAACCCATTCTCTTCCAGACCTCCCAGACCCAGGAAGCTCTCTCTGAGCTGGAGAGGTCCATGGATGTCATCATTGATGTCTTCCACCAGTACTCGAGAAGGGAGGGACACAGGGACACCCTGACCAAGAGGGAGCTGAAGCTCCTGATTGAGAAGCAGTTGGCCAACTACCTGAAGGTGGGTGGACTCACTGCAGGGTTTCTCCTGGTCCCACCTGGAGAGGGACCTGCTCTGCACCCCATGGCCTGGTGTTCCCAGGGTCTGGATTCACCCCCTTCCCACTCTGCTCCCCTGCCTGGACCTTTTCTTGCCCAACTGCCACTTCCCAGTGGCACCAGGTTGGAACCACTCACAGCATCAGGTTCTTGAGGACATTGGGCAGGTCCCAAGGAGGTCAAGAGTTGAGCTGTGACTGGGGGGACACTTGGTCCTCACCCCACCCCTCCCTTTGCAGCATGTGAAGAGCCAGGCCACCATTGATGAGATCATGAAGGACCTGGACATCAACAGGGATGCTCAGCTCAGCTTCAGTGAAGTGATGCTGCTGATCACCAGGGTGACCATTGCCACCCACGAGCACCTCCATGAAGTCGAGGACCAGCAGCAGCACCAGCACAAACACCAGCACCACTGAGGCAGGATTGTGGTCTCTTGGCCAAAGAAGCACCCATGAAGTGCTCCCAGCCCCTGGTTTCTCCTCTCCATCCCTCTTCCCCCACCTCCCTCCTTCCCTTCCTTCAACCTTGATGGTCTTGCTGCCAAATAAACCTTTGCCTTGAGGCTCTTCCATGTGTCTGGGTGGGGTTTCCTCCAGGTGACACTTTGCTCTCATCTCCCAAGCAAACCCCCCTCAGGGGACAGGCTGAAGGTTCTCAGGGCCAAGCTGGACACCCCAGGACAGCAGGGGTGATGGCACTGGAGCTCACAAGATGGGTCTTGGCATTTCCAACCAGTGAGAGAAGCTCATTTTGGCCTGAGAAGACCTTGTGTGTCTCCTAGGACTGAGCTGTGGTGGCTGCCAAGAGCTGGAAGGAGGGATGGGGGGCAAACAAACCCTGTTTTTGGGAGGTGCACCTATTTGAGGGCCCTTTTCTTGTGCAGGGACCTGGGAGGGGGGGTGGTTGTGGTTGGTTTCAGTGCTAGAGGCAGCAGAAGACCCAGATGTTTGGTTCTGTGTGGCCAAGAACTGAGAACAACCCCAGGACCTCAACCCACCAAGGGGGGG